CTTGACCTGCTGGGCTCTGGCGATCTTTCCGCCTCAGCCTTCCAAGTAGCTGGAACTACAGGCACGCACTACCACGCCTGGCTAATTTTTGATTTATTGTAGAGATGAGGTCTCACCAAGTTACCCAGGTGGGTCTCGAACCTGCGGGCTCAGGCAATTCACTCACCTCAGCCTCCCAAGGCGCGGGATTACGGGATTACAGGCTGAGCCACCGAGCCTGGCTAAAAGCCAGCAAATTTTATGTAAAACAAGGACATATGTTAACTTGGAAAACAGCTCTGTCAGTTTTATGTACTGCATCTTCTCCCGCCTTGTGGTCTGCCATTTCAACTTAGTATCTTGTTTTTTTAAATCTATTTTTAAAATTTTATACCTTAGTATCTTTTGATGAATCCAGTATAAAGAAGTATAAATGCAAAGTAGCAGATGAAATGAAAAGATATGATTTGCAATTTCTTATAAGCATAGAAAAATCTACACACCTTTCCATTAAGGTGTTTTTTGTTTCTGTTTTTTGAATTGGAGTCTCACTCGGTCGCCCAGGTTGGAGTGCAGTGGCACACTCACGACCACCACAGCCTCAAACTGCTGGGCTCAGGTGATCCTTCTACCTCTTATAGTCTTCCAACTAGCTGGAACTACAATTGTGTGCCACCATCGCCAGCTAATTTTTTGATTTATTGTAGAGATGAGGTCTTGCTAAGTTGCTCAGGCTGGTCTCAAACCTCTGGGCTCAGGCAATCTTCTTGCCTCCACCTTCCAAAGAACTGGGATTACAGGTGCTATCTAATGCACATGGCTTCCATTAAGTTTAATGTGATAGTTAAAAAAAAAAGAATCTTGGCCAGGCACAGTGGCTCATGCCTGTAAACCCAGCACTTTAGGAAACCAGGGTAAAAGGATCACCTGAGCATAAGAGTTTGAGATCGGCATGGACAACACAGCCAGTCCTCATCTCTACAAAAATCAAAAAAATAAGCAGGGCCTGTAGTCCCAGCTACTTAGGAGGCTGAGCCCAGGAGGTTGAGGTTGTGGTTTAGCTGTGAATGTGTTACTGCACTTCAGTCTGGGCACCAGAATGAGACTTCTACTGAAAAAAAAAACAACTTTGATTACTCATTATCCTTAACAAGGAACAGCTCCCATGTCAAAAATAACTAAGAAGATTATATGATCCAAAACATCTTAATTTGCAATTCAGCAAAGTAAAATGATTTAACAATAAGGAACTGGCATATATAAACACCATAAAATTATTTTCTATAGAAAAACTATTTTTCTTTTTCTTTTTTGAGTTGGCATCTCACTCTTTGTTGCCCAGGCTGGAGTGCAGTGGCATGCTCATGGCCACTGCAGCCTCGACCTGCTGGGCTTAGGGAATCTTTCTGCCTCAGCCTTCCAAGTAGCTGTGACTACAGACGTACGCCACCATGCCCGGCTAGTTTTTTGTGCTTTATTGTAGAGACAAGGTCTCACCAAGTTGCCCAGGCTGGTCTCCAACCCCCAGCCTCAGGCAATCCTCTCATCTCAGCCTACCAAAGTGCTGGGATTACAGGTTGAGCCACCGCAACCAGCCAAAAAACTATTTTTCAAAACGAAGAGTAATCAAACACTAGTCCTCTGCAGTTAGATTTTAATGAAAACACAAAGCTTCATATGCAGTGTTATTCCTAAATTTCAAAATGCAGCATTAGAAATGTATTTAGGGTGACATTCAAATATACTCACAATAGTCTAACTTTGACTAGCTTTGGGAAGTGATATTCCTGCCAAGAAATGTATTAAGCTAGTCGGGCTCAGTGGCTCAGCCTGTAATCCCATGCATTGGGAGGCTGAGGTGAGTGAACTGCCTGAGCCCGTGGGTTCGAGTACCGCCCGGGCAACTTGGTGAGATCTTATCTCTACAATAAAATCTAAAAATTAGCTGGGCGTGGTAGCTCATGCCTGTAGTGCCAGCTACTTGGAAGGCTGAGGCGGAAGGACTGCCAGAGCCCAGCAGGTCGAGGCTGTGGTGGCCGGGAGCATGCCACTGCACTCCAGTCTGGGTGATGGAGTGAGACTCCAATTCAAAAAATAAAATAAAATAAAATAAATAAATAAATAAAAGAAATGTATTAAGCTAAATCAAATCCTAAGCAAAGATCAGACAAACCCAAATTGAGGGAAATTCTATAAAATAACTTTCCTGTAATATTCAAACTGTCAAGATCATAAAAGGGAAGATTTAATTGTTTCAGAATGAAGGAGAATAAGAGACAACTCAATGCAACATATACGTCTGAGGATTAGATAGTATCAACATATCAATATTAGTTTTCTGAGTTTGAAGGTTGTATTGCTCTCAAACAATTCGGAAAAAAATGTTCTTTGTACCGTACTTGCAATTTTCTGTGAGCCAGAAAATGTTCCAAAAAAATAAAAATTAAAACACAAGAGGGTCTATTCATAAGCTAGACTTAGACATTCTCACATTCTAAATTTTAATTGACTACTGAATGATGATACCAATTTATAGATACAGAAATTTCAATGAATGCTTTCAAGATTTAGAACAAGCTAGTTTCCTCCCAAAAACTGCTACTAGGACTTGGCCAGTATAGGCTTTTGTTACACAAACAGGGTTGATGCAGACATCTTCCACACATAGGATAACACAAGTATTCATTCACAGTGTTCATATTTTGACAACCTTCAATGTGTGTTCATATTTTGACAACCTTCAAGTTATTTATGCACAATACAAAAAACTGGATGCCACATTCTAAATTCTCCTATTCAGAGTAGAATTGCTTTCTGTTCACTTCTTTTAAAATATTTACTAAAGCCGGGCTCGGTGGTTCAGCCTGTAATCCCGCGCATTGGGAGGCTGAGGTGAGTGGACTGCCTGAACCCGCAGGTTTGAGACCCGCCTGGGCAGCGAGACTTCATCTCTACAATAAATCAAAAAATCAGCCAGGCGTGGAAGCGCATGCCTGTAATTCCGGCTACTTGGAAGGCTGAGGGGGAAGGATCACCGGAGCCCAGCAGGTCGAGCCTGCGGTGGCCGGGAGCAGCCACTGCACTCCAGTCTGTGCGACAGAGTAAGACTCCAACTCAAAAAATAAAATAAAATAAAATAAAAATAAAATATTTACTAACTATGGTCAGGTGTGGTGGCTCACACCTGTAATCCCAGCTTTGGGAAGCTGAGGCAAGAGAATTGCTTGAGCTCAAGAGTCTGAGACCACCCTGGGCAACATGGCAAGATTTCATCTCTAAAAAGTAAATAAAATATTTACTAAAAGTCATGAGCCATGCACTGTGCTGAGGAGTAGAATATAAAGAGATTCTCTTTGGCTGAGCATGGGGGCTCATGCCTATGATCCCAGCACTTTGAGAGGCCGAGGTGAGAGGACTGCCTGAGCCCAGGGATTTGAGACCATCCTGGCTAATTTGGCAAGACCTCCTCTCTACAATAAATCAAAAAAGTAGCTTGGCATGGTGGCATATGCCTGTAGTTCCAGCTACTTGGAAGGCTAAGGGGGAAGGATCACTTGAGCTCAGCAGGTCGAGGCTGTGGTGGTCATGAGCGTGCCACTGTACTCCATCCTGGGTGACAGAGTGAGACTCTACCACAAAAAGGGACTCTCTTTGATTTTAATTAAATTACCAGGAAATACAATTATAAAGGCAGATACAAGATAATAAAGTAGGCAAAGTTGTTCAATGGGAGAAAATGACATCAGACAATACTTCTCCCTCTAAAGAGTAAAAAAAAAAAACAACTCAAAACTTTTTTTTTTAATTCAGGAGGTCTCAATCTGTTGCCCAGGCTGGAGTGCAGTAACATGATAATGGCTAACCGCAGCCTCGACCTCCTGTGCTCAGGTGATCTTTCTGCCTCAGTCTCCTGAGTAGCTGGGACCATAGCCTCATACCACCACACCTGGCTAACTTTTAAATTTTTTTGTAGAGACAGGATCTTGCTATATTGCCTAGGCTAGTCTTGAACTTCTGGGTTCAAGCGATCCTCCCACTCTCCAAAGTGTTGCGATTACAGGCATGACCCACTGCTCCTGGCCTTCAAACACATTTGCTGAAAAGTGCAGTTTCTCTGGACCCTCACTGACTAGCAGTCCAGAAAAATTTTTCTTCATTATTTCTCTCTATGCAATTTATTCAGTTTTTTTCGAGTTGGAGTCTCACTCTGTCACCCAGGCTAGAGTGCAGTGGCACACTCACAGTCACCCCAGCATCGACCCGGTGGGCTCCGGCGATCCTTCCACCTCAGCCTTCCAAGTAGCTGGAACTACAGGTGTGTGCTACCACGCCTAGCTAATTTTTGATTTATCGTAGAGATAAGGTCTCACCAAGTTAGCTGGGCTGGTCTCGAATCCACAGGCTCAGGCAATCCACTCACTTTGGCCTCCCAAAGTGCGGGGATTAAAGGCTGAGCCACCAAGCCTGTCCTGTCTATACAATTTAAAAGGTTAAACTAATAAATCCTTACATAAAATAAAGTTCTCCAACAACTAAGCCTAATTTAATATAGGTGAGTAACTCAAACGTCTTCAACTTAAAGAGCCCCAATAACAGGATAATCCTAGGAATATTACAGGATTTACAAGTCTCCAAATTCAGCTCAATCTGCAATACTCTTGGACTGCTTTTAGTGATATGAAGGCAGAGAAGAGAGCAATTGACACAAACTCAAAGGACTCAGAGTCTATAAAAATGTAAGTTTAAGTATAGATTGAAATAGATAGAAAAAGTTCCTATGCTAAACATCCCAATTTAAGTTCAGAATGAGACCAGAAACTGTGGCTCATGCCTCTAATCCCAGCACTTTGGGAGGCTGAGGCGAGAGAATTGCCTGAGCTCGGGGTTGGAGACCAGCCTGGGCAACTTGGTGAGACCTCATCTCTACAATAAATCAAAAAATTAGCTGGAAGTGTTAATGTGCTCCTGTGGTTCCAGCTTCTTGGAAGGCAGAGGTGGAAGAATCGCCTGAGCCCAGCACATCGAGGCTGCGTTGGCTATGAGCATGCCACTGCATTCCAGTATGGACAACAGTGAGACTTCGACTTAAAAAAAAAAAGTTTAGAATATGCCTATGCCAAGATACTTTACCTCATATTAAACAATTCAGTATGCCACAAAACTGTAAATAAAACCAGAATGAAAACTGGAATTACCTTTAAGAAATGTTAAAATAAGATGCACGGCTATTTTCTGGAAAAAGTAGTGCTTGACACATAGTATCTTGTAGATTTTAAATTAGAATTCTCAGCCAGGCTCGGTGGCTCAGTCTGTAATCCCAGCACGTTGGAAGGCTGAGGTGAGTGGACTGCCTGAGCCCATAGGTTCAAGACCCATCCGGGCAACTTGGCGAGGCCTCGTCTCTACAGTGAATCAAAAACGAGCCAGACGTGGTAGTGCACACCCGTAGTTCTGACTACTTAGAAGGCTGAGGAGGAAGGATCGCCAGAGCCCAGCAGGTTGAGACTGTGGTGGCCGGAAGTGTGCCACTGCACTTCAGTCTGGGTGACAGAGTGAGACTCCAATTAAAAAAAAAATTAGGGCCAGGCTTGGTGGCTCAGCCTGTAATCCCAGCACTTTGGGAGGCCGAGGTGAGTGAATTGCCTGAGCCCGCGGGTTCGAGACCTGCCCTGGCAACTTGGCGAGACCTCATCTCTACAATAAATCAAAAATTAGCCGGGTGTGGTTGTGCGCGCCTGTAGTTCCAGCTACTTGGAAGGCTGAGGCAGAAGGATCGCCAGAGCCCAGCAGGTCAAGGATATGGTGGCCAGGAGCGGCCACTGCACCCCAGTCTGAGCGACAGAGTGAGACTCCAACTCAAAAAAAAAAAAATTAGAATTCTCTACATAACCATAATCACTTCAGCACAAATTACATTATTCTTAGGCATGTTTTATCTTTTTCTTCAGCATCTCCTCTTCCACTCTATTAGGAATGGAACAAAAACATGATATCCACTTAGCATAATGTTCACCCTTGGAGCAGCTTTTTTTTTTTTTGAGTTTGAGTCTCACTCCATCACCCAGGCTGGAGTGCAGTGGCACACTCACAGCCACCCCAACGTTGACCTGCTGGGCTCCTGTGAACCTTCAACTCAGCCTTCCAAGTAGCCGGAACTACAGGCACAGCTAGCATGCCGACTAGGAGCCAGCTATTTCTTCCTATGGTATATGTCTGCTTTACCTGAATTTTAGGAAAAATTTATTAATTGCAGGATGTTTCCTATAATGAGCAGATATAGCATGATAAAAGCATACAAATATCTTAATGAGGATCCTCAAGTTATTCAGTGGAGAAAATGACTAAAATCTAGCCCTTAACTCCTAGTCCCAACATTTCTCTAACAGCAACTTGTGGGTTTTTCTCTTGAGAAGCAAGAAGTTTGCAAAATAGAGTTCCTGTTGACTGCTAACAGTTATAGTTACTATAATAACTAACATTAAATGGTCTGAGAATTTCATATATATAACCTAAGTAAAAATCATACAGTAGCTAGAAAACATGGGGGGAGAAAAAGACAGAAAAACTTCTTAGATGAAAAAAGTTACCATATACAACATTGATACATTTTAACTTAAGATTTTTTCTGAAAACAAGCTTGTAAATACTCAGCCAAATATTTGGTAATCACGGGGTCATCTTTCACTAAAAAACATATACTAAAATAGGCAGCTCATGCTTTAGGAGGCTGAGGCAAGAGGATCATTTGTGGCCAGGAGTTCCAAACCAGCCTGAGCAACAGGGCAAGACCTCATCTCTACAAAAAAATTTTTAAAAACTAGCCCAGTATCCTAAAGCGCCTGTAGACCTAGCTATTTGGGAGGCTCAGGTCCAGAAGTTCTATGCTAATGAGCTATGATAGTGCCACTAGACTCCAGTCTGGGCAAGAGACCCTGTCACAAAAAAAAAAAATTTTTTTCTTAAACAGATTAACATTCACAGTAGTTACCTTCTAAGAGTTGCAGTTACTATCCCCATGAAGTACAATTTGTATGTCACCCGTTAAATTCCCCATTAGCAATGATTTTTAAAAGTCATTTCTTCAGGGAAGATTTCCCTCTTGCCTTTCCTCCCTAATCTCTATTATACTGTAAATATTAAAAAGAACTTTTGTACTTACTTACCTGTATCCCTACATAGACAGTATTTATACGTTTCCCAGCGCCTGGCACAACGCCTGTTCAGTTCCTTGCACGTGAGGTACTCTAGAGTTAAAGAATACATCCTGAAAACATGCCGATCTTTGAAAAAAAAATTTTTGTTTGAGTCGGAGTCTTACTCTGTCGCCCAGGTTGGAGTGCAGTGGCACGCTAAGGGCCACGGCCGCCTCGACCTCCTGGGCTCAGGCGATCCTTCCCCTTCAGCCTTCCAAGTAATTGGAACTACAGGCGCGCGCCATCACATCCAGCTAATTTTTAAAAATTTACTGTAGAGGCGAGGTCTCGCCAAGTTTCCCAGGCTGGTCTCCAACCTCTGGACTTAGACAATCCTCTCGCCTCCACCTCCCAAAGTGCTGAGATTACGGGCATAAGCCACCGCGTCCGTAATTTTTAAAAAGTGTCTGGATTGATTGCCTTGCCACTAACGGAAGTGTGATTCCCAAGATAACCAATTCTACGCAGTGAGAATCGCTGTGAGGAAAGGACAACCAAAATTGTTTTTTACTGTAACTTACTGGATAAATGACCACTATTTAAGAGAGGCGTAAAGGAGTTGTGTGTCAAAGCGATGTGTGCAAGACACAAGAGATTTAAAGAAAACCACCCCACTCAAGAACTAAGTCTTGCAGTTCCTGCTCTTCTTGCCTCCAGTGCCCAAGTATTCGCAGTCGTCTCTTTTTATCTTTCACCCAAGACACACGTCCGGCGACCCCAGGGTGCACGGAACCCAGCTCTGGCCCGTGCTTCCCCGCTCCTGCACTATTCGAGGCTTCCGATCCTCCATTAACGTCTCGAAGTTGCCTCCCTCTGCAGGTCAAGGAGCGAACCACCAAGGGGTGGCGACCCCACTCCCGGCCGCCAGCTCCGGCCCAGCTCCCCCTCTGGCCGCCCTCCAGCCCGCCCCAGATGGTCTTCAGGCCCGGGTCTCACCTCTCCACCCACTCCCTCAGGAAGCGCATTTCCTCGGTGTGCAGGACGCTCGGGTCCTGCTTACACATTTTCACGAAGGCGCGAAGCTCGCTAACTTTGCGGGGGTCCATGGTCAGGAGGCGGAGGGCGACGCCAAGGAGGCTACAGCGGATCCCAGGCCCGGGCGCTGGCTCAGCGTGATCGCGTAGAAGGGGGCGGCTGCCGTGAAGAAGAACACACTAGAACCTCCCCGGCCGCTGGCTCCGCCCACCCAACAGTCTCGTGACCCCGGGTCCTTCGCTCGCTCATTCCTGCTCCCTCTACCTCTGTTCCTGCGCCCTCGCTGGAACCTTCCAGAAGCGTGGCTGTTCGTGCAGCTGCCTGCCTCTCTACACATACGTTCTTGTATAGCCTTAACTCTGAACCAGTTCTCTGGATGGGTCAACCCCAGACAAGGGTGCTTTCAAAGAGGCGGCAGATATCAGCCCCTCCATGGAGACCTAGAGAGTCACATACTCCGAACATGAGCATTCAGTGGACCACAACGCCCTCAAGAGAAAAGGGCCGTCTAGCAGGAGCAGCGGTCAACGCTGGGGCTTGACGTCAGCATTCTGCGCCGCGGCGGAAGGAAAGCCCGTGGGCGGTGCCCGCCGGAAGAGGCGGGCGGCTGGCCCGGTTTCTTGGCGACGCGGCCCTGCGGGCGGTTGCTCTTCCTGTCGTTTGCCTCTTTCTCTTCCTGACGCGTGAAGTAGGCCGTCATGCCTTGGCTGCTCTCAGCCCCCAAGCTGGTTCCCGCTGTAGCAAACGCCCGCGGCCTTTCAGGTTAGATTCTCTTCCCACGGTGTCCCCCAGTGGGATCCAAGTTGGTCTCAGGCGATCCCTAGTTCGGCGGACCCTTCTGTTGGGGCCTCCTCTCCCAAACCCTCTGTGCTCTCCGCGGATTTCTTCTTTACCGGCTGCTCCTGGAAAAGGGCGGGCCCTCTGTTTCCCCTACCATTGAGGTATTCTGGGAAGCTGAAATGACTTCAGAGAGAAAAGTGTGTCTTCCCCCGAAGGGCTGTCTTCAGAATTACTCGTACTCAGAAGTTGTGTCGGTTACCACACTTGCATAGGTGGCAAAGTGTCTCACATCAAGTAGCTTTTGTTTCTGTTAAGTCAACCTAAAGTCTTCATTTTCTTGTTTTCAAAGAGTTAATTTGAGAGTTGACTGCAGAATATACAAGAAACATGTAGTAACACAAACGCTTTAAGCAGTTTCTCTCAGAAGAGGTAATGTTTGGAAATACTCCCGGGGCTTTCTGTGTCTCAAAAGTCCTGTGCTTGTAAAGACAAGACAAAGGACCCCAAGAATCAGGGAAATGATTTTTCGTTGGGTGTGCTCTATTGCGACCAATTCATCTGATGAACATCAGGTTTAATCAGTGAAAATTGAATCATCTGCCTTGCTGGTGGATCTGCCCTTGGATCACATTTCAGTTTTGGGGGCCAATGTGTGAACCAGAATACATGATATTTGACATCACAGCTATGTCTTGGCATATATTTATGTTGCTATACTTGAATTCATTGAAAATGGAATGTTAATTATATCGACTTACTCCTTATTATGAAAAATAAAAAGTCATTCTCCAGTGCACAGAATTTGTTCTTTGGTTCTAATAGTAAAGCTGCAGAAAGCTGTCCCTCTCCATGGGACAGATAAAAAGATAAAATGTGCAGTTGATCAGACACAACCTATGATTTCTTTTTTTTTTGTTGAGTTGGAGTCTCACTCTGTCGCCCAGACTGGAGTGCAGTGGC